TTCAGTGACTCAAATAATGTGAGACAAGAAGCCATTAGACGCTCCCGCTGGTATACTGTAGAGTACTGGTGCGTCATTAACAACCTAAGATCAAACGCCCATCGGATCCTCACTTCCTCCCACCGACATAGAGAGTTTCCACTATACTCTCTTTTAATGGGGCTCTCTCAGTCATTGAGGCTAAGGCCAACTGTGCGCTCTGCTGGCTGGCTCTCATCTGTGTAGGCCGAGTCAGGAGTTTCGTCGGATCAGATTCCTTCGACTTTGTTTTGTTTCCGGTGAGTCCATGCCTGTTGGAGGAGGCAGATTGTAAATGTGAGATGATATTATTATTATTATTATTATTATTATTATTATTATTATTATTATTATTATTATTATTATTATTTTCAATGTGAACGAACTACGTGTCAGTGTTTGTTGTTGTTGTATAGATGGTGTGTGTGTGTGTGTGTGTGTGTGTGTGTTGGGAGGTGGGGAGAGGGGGAAGTGGAAAACCTGCTGCTGCTCTCTCTCTCTCTCTCTCTCTCTCTCTCTCTCTAGCTTCTTATCTTAGGTCTTGGTGAGCGTATTTTAATTGCAAGGTATTCTTCCACGATGGTTTTCTTGTCTTTTTGGTTTATACATACTCGTATATTGATCACCACCACAGCCACCACCACCAATATGAACAGTATTAACATCATCACCACCATCATCATCTCAAACACCATTCAGCATTAACACCATCACCACCATGAACAACAACACCATTGCTATCAACTTCATGACCACCACAATAACCACTAAGGGCCTACCATCACCACCGCCGCCACCACCATCGGTGTTTCGGTTGAGCAGCTTATGACGGATGCCTTCTTCATCTTTAATTAGGGAATTTATCATCGGATAAGCAGAGGGGGGGCTGCGCCGTCAGTAATTGAGCCATACAATGTTTTAGTGGAATTGAAAAATTCACGCATCTTGTGTTGATCTGCATTTTTTTGCGTTTCACGCTCTTTATTTTTCCACCATTCGCTCTTTAGATGGCGAAGTTCGCGCTGGGCCGCCGCTTTCTTCTCGTGGAAGGTATCAGCTTTGGTTCGAGACTGAGGGTTGTTGTGCCAGTCAGTGAAAGCAGCCTGTTTACCGTCGACGAGTACATTGATTTTCGGGTCATTTTCATCAATACTCATACTCGATTCCAAGTGGCAGCAAAATAGTAGTAGTAGTATTATGTGTATGTGTGTGTGTGTGTGTGTGTGTGTGTGTGTGTGTGTGTGTGTGTGTGTGTGTGTGTGAGTGGGAGAAGTGAGTGGGTTTTAAGAGGTCCCTGTTTACCTAGTGTCAGTTTATGCACGTTTTATAAGGCTATTAGAGCAGCGACTGGTCGATCTAAGGCCCGAAAATATTTACGGGAGAAATTCGTTCGTTTATAATGGACTGTATACACGGATATATACATACATACATACACAGACAATATACAGTTGGACGTATATTATTAAGTGTACACACACATAATTATATTAACAAGTGCACACCCACACATGCACACTCACGGATGTACACACAACCTTATATTAACACACACACGTACACACACACACACGTACACACACACACGTACACACACACACGTACACACACATACATACATACACAAACACAAACTTATATTAACACACACACACACACACATAGAAGAAACAGATAAATAAGTGTAAACTCATATGGTTAATATCCGTAAACGTTCCTCCTAACACTACCCACCACTTCCCTGCTGTAAGTGCTATCGACAACCCCACAACTACATGCATTACACAGTCAACCTTATCTCTGTTCAGTACTCCCAGAACCATTAATTATCTTCGTATAACAAGATCATTTTCAACTCCTGATTATTAATACGATAATACACTGTCATTCAATACATATATACTTTTTGAATACAATTAACATGTAGATATACTTAATAGAAACCCAAAACCTGTTACTCCTCCTCCTTGCTTTATGTTAGTCTTCCTCACAACTATACTCACACCTCACAGGAATTCGGTCTCAACAAGGAGCAGTACTTCAGGTATGGGACGCCCCTCTAATACTTCCTTGCCCCTTCTCGACAACCATCAGCCTGGAGATGTTTCTACAGTTTATCAATCAATCATTCGTCTTACACTACCTTCCCCCTTCCTGTACGTCGTTCACTATCCTCATTCTACCACGCCTTTAACCAATCAGTTTTCAGATGAAATTCAATCTATCATCCACAAGCCTGACAGTAACCCCAATCTTCACTCGTCTACCGTACAATCATTTCTCTTTTTAAGCTGTCAGTGTTTTTGTGTGTCCAGTTGTCATTTTTTACACTGCGTTGATATCTCACATTATGATTTATTCCTTACTATCATCACAATCATCATCCCCCATCATCACCACCACCATCATCATCGCCATCATCACCACCATCACCATCGGACAATCACCTCTGCGAACACAACTACACATAATGACTGTCACACTTCTCTCAGCCAACAACTTTCTGCCAGGAGCTACACGAGTATGTTGCGTGTCCTCATAAACCTGTTATTGACAGACATTAACTTGACCATGTTTACAAAAGTTCAAAAGATAACAATGATGAATGAGATTACTTATATTCACAAAATATCTTAGAGTACAAAGTAAGTTTATTTAATACCTAAGTTCAAAAGGTTGTATTATGGTCAGCTATATTACCTAAGTTCAGTGGACACCTCAGCCGCAAGGGGTTGATCGTAAACCAAGACTGAGGCATCATGGGCCGTGTTCCCTGTCTGGTTAGTTGGTAATAAGGTGAGATGCAGCTGACAGCAAACGACACGGACGCCCAGGCTGCCACCACTACCCTGTTTTAAAGAAGAGCTCCCCCCCCTCTTACCCTATGCTGGAGAGAGGAGTATAAATTGTACGTCTTAGGAGGTGGTTTGTCTGCCTTACACTAGTTTAAGAGCTGCTGGATATATGAGGTAGGAAGGGCGTGTAACAGAGAGAGGAGTCACTGTCGCCGGTCTGAGAGCGACTGAATGATGAACGGGGCCCACACTCACACATATAATATACGTAGTGAGTGACTTGGGAGGAGGCCACCGGCACCTCACCTCCCTACCAGATTTATGCTCTCCATGTTCATGACAGGAAACACACACACACAAACACAAACACACACACACACGCACACACACAAACCGAACAGGCTAGTTAATTAATTACACACCCACATCATTCAGCTTCCCGCAACCATGCCCACCAACACTAGGCTCGTTTCAATTAAGGTAATACCTCCTGGTGTATTCAAAAACATCACACTTCTTGTATGAAATCAATGGAACAATGAGCGCGTCTACGGTTGTCCTGAGGGCAGAGAACACAATTGTGGAAACTAAAAATGACACATAGACTCCAAATATAAAGCATTAAACCCTGGGGTACGATGACAACTTTTCGAGCACAATGATTTAGACCCTTGAGTATGATGACAACCACTTGATAAAGTAACCCCTCAAGTATGATGATTTAACCCATTGAGTATATGACAACCTGTCTAGTACGATGATTTAATCCCTTTGGGTACAATGACTTAACCCCTTGAGTATGATGACGATGACTTAAAGGGTTATGTCATCGTACTCAAGGGGTTAAGGAATCGAGATAATAGCAGGTATATATATCATCTTGTGAGACGTGAAAACCAAGAGTGTATCCCAGGAGGCATAAAAAGACCCAGGGAAAGAAAGGCCAGCTGCCAGATAGTTACATGAGACCAGGAATCTGTTGACACGCTCAGTGGATGTGGAAGGTTCAGGACAAAAGGCTGTGGGGTTATATGGATTGCGTCTTCATCCAGCAATACACTGATATAAGCTGATGATGATTATATACTGTACACTCGTATATAATTTTAGGCCAGAAAAACAGAACGTCCTTCACAGCTAACCACTAATTTTATGCCATGAAGATCGTCGGGGGTGACACAGCTGATATGACTTTCACCAAAAATAAGATTATGAAAGTCTATGGTTTGAGGCCATTACTGTATATCAGTGGTTCACAGCCAGGGTTCCCGGAACACAAGGATTCCGCGAAATTTTATAATAATAATAATAATAATAATAATAATAATAATAATAATAATAATAATAATAATAAAAATAATAATAAAAGCTCACCAACTTTTAAGTCATGAATGGTAGTCTTGTAACTTGAGTTTGGTTTTAAGATAAAAAACTTAAGGAAAGCTGTTATTTTCCTTGAGGAGGAAAAAAAATATAATGGGGATAATTGGGTTCCAGAAAATATTAACTGTGGCTGACTGGGTTCCTTGGCCAAGAAGACGTTGGCAACCACTGATTATACGGTGCACCTTTGCAGGTCACTTCTTAGATGTTGTTCGTAGGAAAAGGCCTTTTAAAGTTAAAATCGACAGCGATGCTGATCTTTAGTAATCCAGTAATGGACTGTGGCTACCATATGGTGCTGCATCATGCGTGTGAAAGACACTACCTCATCACCACACTGCTCACCCACCCAACCTAACTCTTAAGACTCAAGCCCACGTTGATCTGTGTGGGTGTCTTGATTGGAAGATGTGCCACATGTGGTTGCCTTAACCAATCACCAAAGTCGTCTACCGTTTAACCTGACCGTTGTGACCAATCATGGACCAGTAAGAGTTGCGAGGATTTCAGGATATTCAATGTTATTCCACGGGTTTCAAACGGTGATTCTGTTCACATTATATTTTCAAGAAAATACACTATCTACAGACAAGCTTGTGTGTAACATGAATATATGAACATAATCAATATATACAAAGGGAGTGTAAATACAGCCCCAACGCGATGGAAAACTGTGAACGCGGTGTCCGAAACTAAATGAAAAAGTGCGCGGGTTAGTGGGAGACGTGGTGGAGTGTGGCGGCGCCAAGCCTCCTCCTCCACACTCGGGGATCGGCCTTATAACCTGAAACCCTCGTGGCCGTCGTCGATACTCCCAGCACCTGCAGGGGTCTCGCACGTGTCTCAGTCCCGCTTCTCACGCGTCAGAACCTGCCACGGCCACCAGAGATCTCCTGAAGACTTTCTTGAGGTTAGGAAACAAGAAGTAGGTGAAGTGAGAGTCGGTGAAGAATCGTCTCACTAGAGGTTTGGTAAAGAGCTTTGCAGTTCGACAGGGCCGAATATTCTGAACCTTTTAGACTTCGAGGTTTTACCATTCGCACCAGAAGACGCAAGACTTCGATAGACCTAACAACCTCATCTCCAGAGATCTCAGTTTTTCACACTCTCTTCCGGGCTTCATCCTCTCCAGGACCCTAGAGTCACATATCTTCGAAAGATCTTCGCTTTTTCCAAAGCCCCTGAGAGTTTCAAATCTTCTGTTGTTTTTAAGGCTCTAGAACACTCGTAGATCCTGTCAACTCGAAGGTTTCCTTTTGCCCAAAGGTTCACTCAGACAATGTCGCAGATCTTTGGTTCGCTAAACCTCAGAAAGGTTTCAGGTTCGAGGACCCCCCTGCAGAGTCGCGCTATGACCCGCCCCAGAAGTTCCACTGTGCTCCTGCTCGTCTTCCCCCTCGTTCTGCTCTGCTCCCCTCCTGCCTCAGGTAAGTTTCTTAATCAACCGTTAAGTACGACACAGCGTATGCGATTTTAGGTAATTAGGATGACTAACCTCTGTAAACCATTTCAGGTAAATACCACGAGTTACTTGTAGTCAAATGATTTATCCACATAGCAAAAGTTATAAACACTAACTATGGATCACCTGAAGATTAGCCCCTCTAGCTTATTTCACTAAGATTAACCAACCTAACGCTAACACCCCCAAGGAAGAGTTCGGGTGTTAGATAATCTGGTGAAATAAGCTGGGGGCTAACTTCAAGTGATTCATATATATATATATATATATATATATATATATATATATATATATATATATATATATATATATATATATATATATATATATATATATATATATATATATATATATATATATCAGTGACATCAACGTGAAACAAATAGGATGAGGCAAGTGCGATGTCTCGTCCATATACGCCATGTAAAGTATGACATACAAAGAGGTCAAACATGTACACAGTACAAACACACACACAAGTTAAAAAGACACAGTACAAACACACACAGGCTAAACATGCGGACACCAGACAAGTAAACACTATAAATTAGGCACAAACACACATCAGACAACACCCAAACGTCATAACAACAAACACCTTCACATCATACACATAAGATTAAAGGCGAAGTAAAACATACTCAAAAACAACAAAGAAATCACGAACAGATTAAACAAATATCCACGCAAAAAAAAACACCCTCGTGTAACAAGGATGGCCGGCCCAAGGGCCACCTAGGCGTGAATTTGTTTAAGGTGTAGAAGCTGTCGCCAACACACCAACCACACCCTCAGTTAACGAGTTGCATGACCCAGTGTCAAGGAATAGTCCGAGAAGACCGGACAATTCGCCAACTGCACTGGCTAACCATTACCCCGGAATACAATCCGCAAATCGATTAGCATCCAGGTTCCCAATTACTGCTGGGTAGACAGAGGCAAATGGCGTAAAGAAACTTGCCCATAGTTTCACCCTGCCCGGGAATCGAATCCGGGTCCGATCGCTTGCGAGGCGAGCATGCTGCAAAAAAATACTGTATACTGTTATTCACCTACACATGGTAAACAAACGCTGTATGTGACCTAGCAGGACACCCTCACACACACACAAACAGCTTCAATACGCCATAAAAATTATACATGTATGCGAGAGAATTTACATACCGACGCAACATACATCCGCATACATACATGTACACACAGACAGGGTAATGGTCAGCAAAGAAAAATTATATAAATTATATACAGCTCATACAAACGTTATTATCCGCCTCCTATTCTTACACACACACACACACACACACTTATATACTCACTTATACAACGATGCAAATGCACATAAGCATGCACACAAACATCAATATTTCTTATTCTATCACACACACACACACACACACACACACACACACACACACACACACACACACACACACACACACACACACACCACCTAGTTAACATTACATATTCATCAGCGTGGGAGGGTGTTAGTAAGTCAAAGTCAGGGTCCAGGCAGTCGGCAGTGTGGCGACATAAACACTCAAGCTCACATGAAACACATCCACTGGAGCCAAATATATTGATGAAATGTCTATACGAGTTATATTGTGTTATAGATGTATCTTGTCATGGTACTCCCTCCCTCCCCCCCCCATACCTTTTATTTATCGTCTCAACCAAAATATCCCTCGATGACGCTATGCTATCCTCTCATTGACGCACATCACTGTTTCTCCTAGACGTTCATTCCCCACCCCTATAGTCCATTTACCTTTAGTTCCTTTCTCACCCCCATCTTCTTGGTCTATCCCTCTTCCTCCTACTACCATATTTTGCCTTCATTCCCTCATCTAATTTCTGTTGTATAGAGCCTCACTAAAACCTAATCTGCTTTTTCTGTGGCAGGATATTTTATTCTCTTTCACAATTCTTTATTTAGCTACAGTATTTCTTAAGCCTGTATTGTAATCATCCTTCAAAAAAAAAAGTTATTTCTGTCGTATCTAATTCGTTACTTCCTCTGATCCCCTAAAGTCCATCTTTCTCATCCCTATAATTAATGTCGTCCTCAAGAATTCTCCCGTATCTCATAATTTTTGCCGCTATTATTATTTCTCTCTTGATAGATTTCTCTGTGTACCTATTAGTTCCCTTTTCTCCACTTCTCTTTATCTCCTCAATCAAGATAACATTCATATCTCCCGGTTTCCCTTCTCTGATTCCTTTCATCGATTCACTTTCATTCACATTTAACTATCAACTTTCTCCAGACCATCGTTCTTCTTCCAGATCCATTCACTAACAATGATAAGCTGTCCCCCCCCACTACACCAGAGACCTTCACCAGTACCATCTAACTTACGTCCCACCCCTCAAGCAGTCCTTTTGCTCTCTCCGACTGATTCTCCCCTATATTTCACTCGCCCTTTATAAAATCCGTTCTGCACATATTCATTATATTTACCCATATACTAAGTGTTGTTTTATCTAAAGTTGAATGCTAATTAACTACCATAATAACGTTAAAATACAGGGTCAAGTCTCTCACTCCTGATACACATGTTAAGTCCTTGAGTATATAAATAAAAGTTATCCCAGAACGTCGTGTTTTTTTTAGAAAAGATCAACTTGATCTTTTGATGACAACAACTTGACGTCTTGGGTATAAACTTTCACCCCTTTTGAACCCATTAAGTATAACAACTTGACCCATTGAGTACAATAACATGAACCACTGAGTACAATAACTTGAACCATTGAGTACAATAACATGAACCACTGAGTACAATCACTTGAACCATTGAACATTACAACTTGACCCCGTGAGCATTACATGTTAACTTCTTAAACGTAACAATATATTGACCTCTTCAGTATCACAACTTGACCTCTTCAGTATCACAACTTAACCTCTTCAATATCACAACTTGACCTCTTCAGTATCACAACTTGACCTCTTCAGTAACACAACTTGACCTCTACAATATTACACCGTGACCTCTACAATATTACACCTTGACCTCTTCAGTATCATGACCTAAGGACCTACACAAGAAAGTCTATCAAACACTAACAGACTTGACCAAAGAAATCGACTCCTTGAAATCATAACTCGACAAGGGCAGGAAGCATGAGGATACCAATACTTTTATCTAATTACATTAATGAGGTAAACTGAGCGCTGTCTGGGTTCAGTGGCTCAGACTTACAAGTGTTTTATGGGTTTAGTTTGTGGGAATGATGCTACAGTAATGATTCTCTTATCGGTACTGACGTGGCGGGTGTGTTTGTGTGAGGAATTATTTCATCGATGTAGTCGAAACCGAGACCGAAGCCGAGACCGAGACCGAAACCGAAACCGAATCCGAAACCAGGACCGAAGCTATTCAATTGTTATTAATTCTCACCACTATTGTTATCAGTACTGTTATTATTATAATTATCGTTGTCATTATAACGTTTATAATCACCTTAGCTAATGCTGTATCATATCAACGAAAAATGCCTCCCTAACAAGGTGACCGGGAAAAAAGCCTGGGAAAATATTAATAAAAAAAAAATATACCGTTAAAAAAAAGCAACAAAAAAGAAGAAAAAAGTTCGAGATTAACAAACAGCTGAAGTAATGATGAAGATTTTATAAAAGTTAATCTAAAAGAGAAATCCATCAAATATTCAAATTTCGTAAAGGTACAAATTTTTGCTATTTACGGGTCATATAACATTACAATGATCAGACTATAGTTAATAAACTGTCTGATGTTAATGTGTTTTAACTATGTATGATAAAATATTAGCATTGTTTGTTATTATGTTCGCTTTGTAAATGTGTTAGCTTTGTTAAACTGTTAGCTTCGTATGTTAATGTATTAGCTTTGTGTGTTATTGTACTAGCCTGACATGTTAGTTTTGATTCATAACAACTAAACTAAAACTTCCTTCGAGATAATGTTACAAGATTACGTAATATAACAAAGATCTCATAACTCGTGAGATAACAAAGTGACGAGATTAATAAAATTACTTGTAACAGGAAGTACCAGAAGTTTAAGTATGACACACAATCACTACCACAATTCTAAGTATGACACACAATCACTACCACAGGTCTAAGTATGACACACAATCACTACCACAGGTCTAAGTATGACACACAATCACTACCACGGGTCTAAGTATGACCACAATCACTACCACAGGTCTAACTATGACACACAATCACTACCACAGGTCTAAGTATGACACACAATCACTAACACAATTCTAAGTATGACACACAATCACTACCACAGGTCTAAGTATGACACACAATCACTACCACAGGTCTAAGTATGACATGACCACCTACAGGTCTAACTATGACACACAATCACTACCACAGGTCTAAGTATGACACACAATCACTAACAATTCTAAGTATGACACACAATCACTACCACAGGTCTAAGTATGACACACAATCACTACCACAGATCTAAGTATGACACACAATCACTACCACAATTCTAAGTATGACACAATCACTACCACAGGTCTAAGTATGACACACAATCACTACACACACACAATCACGACCACAATTCTAAGTATGACACACAATCACGACCACAATTCTAAGTATGACACACAATCACTACCAAAGGTCTAAGTATGACACACAATCACTACCACAGGTCTAAGTATGACACACAATCACTACCACAGGTCTAAGTATGACACACAATCACTACCACAGGTCTAAGTATGACACACAATCACTACCACAGGTCTAAGTATGACACACAATCACTAACACAATTCTAAGTATGACACACAATCACTACCACAGGTTTAAGCATGACACACAATCACTACCACAGGTCTAAGTATGACACACAATCACTACCACAGGTCTAAGTATGACACACAATCACTAACACAATTCTAAGTATGACACACAATCACTACCACAGGTTTAAGCATGAC